CGTATTATTGTCACATATACATTTGTCTTTCACGAAATATTCAAAGCAATTTGTAGTTTCAATATACTACTTCAGTTAGTCATTAGATATGTAGCCGTACAGTATTTGTATCCGTGATCAGTGGTATACTTTGATAAGTCAGACTCTGAGTCGTTATTTATAATCACTTTCTGATGTTCAGACATTCTTTGTTCCCGAAATCTGTCGGACTCTCTAATTTATATGAAGTCACGATGTCCACAAGAAAATTTGTAAACAAGTTTCTTCAATCTTCTAGCTTCATTATAGTCCGTCAATAGTGACAGAAAGTCTTACTTTCAAGTGAAATATTCTTTAAAATCTAGATGAAACAGTACATTTGATAGTGGCCTAGTGCCCAATTTTCTCTGCCGAAAAGCAAAACTCGACGTTTCGATTAAATAATACATAATGGTAACGATAGCCATGTTTTTTGGTACGGTTAGAGCAGTTTGTTGGTGCAACATATTTAGAAATAAACGTTCGATCGGAAGGTCACAACATAATAGTATGAGAGGATTAATAATTTACTTTCAACGTCTTTATCAGTTTCTTTTGCTCTTCTTTAAATAATTCGAATTAGGTGTACTATCTCCAAGTATGAACCGTGAATCCGTATCTAGTGTTGTGTACTCAACGACCTTTCATTTTGTCAGCACGTCAGAGAACACAAGAGAAAGCATTTTCTGAGATTTTATCGTAAATTTTAAACTTGAATTGCAGTTATTAATTCTATCCATTTATTCAATCATTTTCTTATGTTCACGTGCCAATCGTACAATTTTGAGAAAAAAGTATCTGCAAGCATTGATGTGAAACGACTTGTCATGGCTGGACGTCGGCATGTCCAATATTTTTTGGTCATGTGCATGTATCGAAAGCCACGCTGATGTCTAATATGAAAGGTATGTTCTGCTTCTAAAAATATTTTTACAGATAGAAGAATAGGATTACGTATGAAAAAAGTTGATAAATCAATATTTTTGAGGAAAAGTCATGATATTCTCAAACCTTTAGTTGATCAATGCCTGAATAGCAATGAACAGAGTTCAGATAAAAGGAAAAATGATCAATCATCGAATAAATCTCCTGATAAACACATCAAAAACTCAAAATTAGAAATCACAATATTCTTGTTCAACAAAAAGAAAACATATTTTATTAATACATTTTTTTTCTTAAATATTAGTACATGAACTCTCAAAAATAATTATATTTATAATGTGTAAATATTTTACTAGTATTCTGAGTGTATATTGTATTGATTATATTTTTTCTGACTCAAAACAAATAGATAAGGATATTGACATATCTTGAAAGAGTGATAAACATCAAATATTGAATTCTCGAGTGAAATTAGAACATAACCATTATGTCTGTAGCCAAATATTCTTTTTCATAGATGAAATTAAGAGCATATTCGATTGTTTCAGCTACTAAAATATTTGTAAACAGTCATTCCATATCAAATGAAACAATAGTTTCTGCCGTAGAAGATCGAAACGCTCGGATTTTCGTCACAAATTCATAAGAGTGTTTTATGAAGGAAGTAGGTTGTTCAGCTCAATCAGAGTGAAGAGGTATTGCTATATACTTGGATAATTAAGCTGTCTGAATGAGTAGTCAATCTTGTGAGCCTTTGATTATCTATACATGACAGACAGTGATTCGAATGTGAAATGGAGTTAGCAAAAAAGACTTTGTTCAATAGATTATCTTTTCACAATTGCCGAAGAGCTTCGTTCATTTTTTGCTTACTTTTCCAGTGAAGTCGAACTAGGAAGGGAGCAAATTTGCTTCCTATGAAGCATTGCTCTTACTTTGTTCTCATAATCAATTTTATTGTGACAAGTACACAGTTTCTCTGGTCCACTTCACAAATGACAATAGACGCGTTTCTTTTGAGAAATTTCAAAGAATCCGTTTCTGCACTGGATACTTGCACTAGCTTCTTGCAAGTGTTTTTAATCAATTGTGGAAACCCGGAAAATGTGTCTCAACAAAAAGTACAGCAGAGATGTGGATAACAAATAGAGTGTAGTTTTAACGCATTTTGTTCATTGTCAGTTTCAAAATCTAAGAAACCTTCTCAACAGAAGATAAGATGTATGAAGATACATTATGAACAAGTTTATGGATATTGGACGTATAGTTCTGACCAGCAGATCCATGAATAAGCCTCTCTAACTTATCCTGATCTATTATCAAAGTACGATTACATTATGTCATAGGTTTTTGTTGAAGAACATGATTGATTGAGCAGAGATCAGTTATGACCACTTTCTTTTCAAATCAATCTATACAAGGTTTTAGTTCTTGGTCGAAGCAAATAGTCGCCTTGTAAAGTATTTCGTATTCGTGTTGTAAACATTGACTTCGGAGATGTAGAACTTGTATAGCAGAGACAAAAGTTTGTTGCAATGCATAAATATGGATGAAAGATGGTGCTAGATTGAAAATTCTCTGGTATAGGGATTCTCAAATCCTAATTAATAGGAGCTAAGAAGGCTTGAACTTGAAATACGTTAAGATTTGTCCATCGTCGTTATTTACACTATCTGATTTAGTTAAACAAATTAGATGATATTTTTCTTTTCTCACCGTATACCTTGTATTAAAGATTCAAATGAGAAAGATATATGCATAGTTACCTTTCTCTAATAAGTAACCAGCTCTGCTGGACTTTGAAACGATACTCATGGCTTACCCAAAGATACTTTTCTTATCATTTTTATGATGGTAGATAATTTTAAAAATTCTCAATGAATATCCTAATTTCAACAAATGTCATTCGATGGACTATTGTGTTGATTACTTTCCATAGAGAGAATTTGACCTTAAGGTTACTGTCGAAACTCTTCCCATATGTGCCCAATCGTATCAAAGAATGCTTAAACTTTAATTTAATAAGATTGCTATTTGTGAGCTGTCGTCAACATTCATGTTGACCAATGAATCAGTGTTTGCTTGAAATTGGTTAGCTGATAGACTGATCCCAATTACATTCAGTCAGACTTTATGGAATCGATCGAAAATCGAGGGCTTTATCTAAAAGAAAAAACAACACTATGTAACAAAATAGAGTAGATCTATGATGAGTACTCGAAAAAGGAGAAGACTAATTAAAAAACAGAAAGATCAAGACCAGAAAAAAAGTTAAGCAGCATGAACATAAGTACTCCATACAATTGTTTCACTTGACTTCTGTGTACGAGCGACTTTCAATGCGGATAACCAAGCATATAGATGAGCTGATGTTTGACAGCGATGGCGCTGAGATGAAGTGATTGTTATTGTTTGAGACACTAAGATTCTTACCACTTGGAAAAAAGTTGAATAGAAAAAATTGGACTGCAGAGGAAAAAGATTCAGACATCGATTTTACACACCAAAGATGTCGGTCAATGAGCTAAATAACGAAAGCAAATGTTTCTTTCTTGTTTTTGCTGCTTGAATAAGATCAGAGATTGTCATATGACATTCGAAGAACGACATACTTTCCTTTGTAATCCATAATGATCTCAAGGAAAAATATATAAAAATGAGGATTCTCAGATGATTGAAATAATCTACTTGATTTTGACTAATTTTCTAAGATTTAGAATATCTTAGATTTTTCGAACAATCTTGACAAATAATTTTCCAATTTTTCTCATAGAGATTGATTTAAATAAGCTTTTCTTTCTTGTTTTGCAAAACCAGACCAGATCGCAATTCAAAGCATATCTCTAGGTGAATCTAAGGCACTTTCTGAGTTGAGGGAACGAAGTTATGCATGGTACATATTTGTAGCGATTTGTAAGAAATATGACGCATTTTTTGGTGGAACTTCAGAAGAGACAAGTAATGAACAGAATTTGAATACAATATTCTATTTTCTTGGATTAAGCCGTCTATTTTCGAAAGAACAACGAACTGACTTCGCTGCAACGCACCCACATCAATCATCAGTCTCGTTCAAGTTACAGACTACTGCGAACAAAACATCATGATCTTGATGTACAATACTCTCGTTCAGCGATGGAATATATTTAGCACTTTTAAAGTCTGACATCGAGATTTACTACGATTATACACATAGGACAGAGAACACTAACAATCAAGATTAAAGTAAAATTAAGTTCGTTCTCTAATTTAGATAATCTTCCATAAAAAATTACCAAGCAAAAGCTTTGATTCTACTGATATTTTCGACCAATTTGTTGAATGAACTTGATTCGCAATTGATCGATTCTTATCTTGAATTGATAACTATATAGTAAAACTGTATGTAGTATTTAGATCGAAATTTGATTGAAACAGATCTGCATTGTGACAATATGAGTTTTTATGCGAAAGACATAGAGAATCATGAGTGAAGGAACGACGGCAAACATGTTCAAAGTCACTCTAAAGATGATTTCGTAGCTTCATAAGAAAGATTTCTTATTGGGGTGTTTTATTCGAGCACAGCGTGTTTCGAAAGAGTTTTTAAAAAACAATGTGAGGATCAATCCATTAATGAACACTATTCTGTTTCGATATGAGTCGAGAAAGGAAAAAATCTCATCGAATACGTTTCACACGATTAGATGATGCAGAATATCTAGACTATATATAATAGAATCTTTCATTTTCACCGACCTTAATTCTAGAGCTTAATTTGCTTTAACAATGTCTCCTAGCTTTAAAGAAAACTTTAAAAATGGGGAAGGTGCAGGCAGAAGTGAAATTGTAAGCCATTATTATTCATATTGAAGTTCAAGTTGAGAATATATCGAGAACAAGAACATATTTCTATATTGTTAAATGCGTATTTTAAACAAAATTAGCCGGAGAATATCATTCATTCTAGTCTCAAAGCAGATGATAGTTATACCTATGCACACTATGATCAAGTTCAGCGTCATCTAACAAACCAAGAACGACTCTCATAAAAATTAGCAATGTAAACTAAAGGAGACCCTCCAACAATGCATAGAGAATGATGATATCAAATAGGAATGATTTCTAACAATATAGGCATCTTTCATGGATTTGGGAATGGATCTTTCTCAAGTCAAATAGAATTTTCAACAGGCTCATCTCGTCCGATAGCAATTATTGCCTTTGATTTCAACAATGATGCACTACTTGATATTGCCACCGCCAATTACGGAACTCACAGTATTAGTATATTTTATGCCTATGGCCATGGAAATTTTTCACCTCCAATTACGTATTCAACAGGTTATAATTCTCTTCCATCTTCATTAGCTGCTGGAGATTTCAATAACGACAACTATGTAGACCTCGCCATCGCTAATTATGGCACAAATAATGTTGGTGTACTTTTTGGAAATAGCAACAGAACTTTTGAACAACAAATCACGTTTTCAACTAGCGTTGGTTCTCATCCGTACTCAATCGCCGTCGGCCATTTGAATGCCGACAACTTTCTCGATATAGCTATCGCGAACTCTGGAACTCATCAAATAAGTGTACTTATCAACAACGGCAATACAAGTTTCGCTAATCAAGCTATATATTCCAATGATTTTACGTCTCCATACGCGATTGGCGTTGGAGACTTCAACGAAGATAATCAATTAGACATTGCCATCACTAATAATGGCATTGAAAACATATGTATACTTCTTGGATATGGAAACGCTAGTTTTAAGAATCCAATCATGTATCGAACTGGATCCCATTCTTCGATTTCTATTGCCATAGGTGATCTTAATAAGGATCATCGATTAGACATCGTCGTCGTGAACAATGATACTGGTAGCATAGATATTCTACTTGGTCAATATGAAGGTTTCTCAAATCAAACAAACTATCCAACTGGCCGTTATCCATATTCTGTAGCTGTTGGTGATTTTAACAATGATACTCGACTAGATATCGTTGTTCCCAATTCTGATAGCTATGATGTGAGTGTCCTTCTTGGATATGGAAATGGTTCTTTTGCAAATCAAACAAGATATTCAGTTGGCTCTTTTCCAACATCTGTAGCTGTTGGTGATTTCAACAACGATACTCGACTAGATATCGTTGTCGCCAATGAAAATAGCAATTATGTGAGTGTCCTTCTTGGATATGGAAATGGTTCTTTTGCAGATCAAGCAACATATTCAGTTGGCCCTTTTCGATCTTATGTAGCTGTTGGTGATTTCAACAACGATACTCGACTAGATATCGTTGTTGCCAATTCTCGGAACAATTATGTGAATGTCCTTCTTGGATATGAGAATGGTTCTTTTGCAGAAGAAACAACATATTCAGTGGGCTCTTCTCCAAAATCTATAGCTGTTGGTGATTTCAACAATGATACTCGACTAGATATCGTTGTTGCCAATTATGATAGCAGTGATGTGAGTGTCCTTCTTGGATATGGGAATGGTTCTTTTGCAAAACAAACAAGATATTCAGTTGGCTTTCATCCACTATCTGTAGCTGTTGGTGATTTCAACAACGATACTCAACTAGATATCGTTGTTGCCAATTATGGTAGCGCTGATGTGAGTGTCCTTCTTGGATATGAGAATGGCTATTTTGCAGAACAACAAAAAAAATATTCAGTTGGCTTTGGGCCATCATCTGTAGCTGTTGGTGATTTCAACAACGATACTCGACTAGATATCGTTGTTGCCAATTCTTGGAACAATAATGTGAGTGTCCTTCTTGGATATGGGAATGGTTCTTTTGCAAAACAAACAAGATATTCAGTTGGCTTTCATCCACTATCTGTAGCTGTTGGTGATTTCAACAACGATACTCGACTAGATATCGTTGTTGCCAATTATGATAGCAATAATGTGAGTGTCCTACTGCAATATGGAGTGATAGTAAATGAAGTGGCCTATGCATCTGGTGGTGGATCTAGCTTACAATGTGCAATAATTGGTGATTTGAATAACGACACTAATATGGATATCGTCTTGGCTAATTATGGCACTAATAATATAGGTATCCTTTTTGGATATGGAAATAGCAGTTTCGAAAATCAAATGATGCTTAGCACTGGCATAAATTCTCATCCGACTTTGATTGCTATTGACGACTTCAATGGTGACAGTATAGTAGACATTGCTGTTGTCAATAATGGTACAAAGCAAGTAGGTATGCTGTTTGGATATGGGAACAGGATATTCGCAAGTCAAACAAGTGAAGGAATTAGTTCCGATTCACGCCCGTTAGCTATGGTTTCTGGTGATCTTAATAATGACAAACGATCGGAAATCGCTATCATTTACGACAGATATGATAATGTGGATATCTTTGGTGCATACAATCGTAATTCTTTTGCAGAAACAAGATATTCAGTTGGCTCTCATCCACAATCTGTAGCTGTTGGTGATTTCAACAATGATACTCGACTAGATATCGTTGTCGCCAATTCTTGGAAGAATTATGTGAGTGTCCTTCTTGGATATGGAAATGGTTCTTTTGCAGAACAAACAACATATTTAGTTGGTTCTGGGCCATCATCTGTAGCTGTTGGTGATTTCAACAACGATACTCGACTAGATATCGTTGTTGCCAATTATGATATGCATGATGTGAGTGTCCTTCTTGGATATGGAAATGGTTCTTTTGCAGAACAAACAACATATTCAGTTGACTTTTCTCCATATTCTGTGACTGTTGGTGATTTCAACAACGATGCTCAACTAGATATTGTTGTCGCCAATGAAAATAGCAATAATGTGAGTGTCCTTCTTGGATATGGAAATGGTTCTTTTGCAGAACAAACAACATATTCAGTTGGCTCTTCTCCAAAATCTATAGCTGTTGGTGATTTCAACAATGATACTCTACTAGATATCGTTGTTGCCAATTATGATAGCGATAATGTGAGTGTCCTTCTTGGATATGGAAATGGTTCTTTTGCAGAAGAAACAAGATATTTAGTTGGCTCTGGCCAATATTCTGTAGCTGTTGGTGATTTCAACAACGATACTCGACTAGATATCGTTGTTGCCAATTATGGTAGCGATGATGTGAGTGTCCTTCTTGGATATGGAAATGGTTCTTTTGCAGAACAACAAAAAAAATATTCAGTTGGCTCTGGACTATCATCTGTAGCTGTTGGTGATTTCAACAATGACACTCGACTAGATATCGTTGTCGCCAATGAAAATAGCAATTATGTGAGTGTCCTTCTTGGATATGGAAATGGTTCTTTTGCAAAACAAACAACATATTCAGTTGGCCGTTCTCCACGATCTGTAGCTGTTGGTGATTTCAACAACGATACTCGACTAGATATCGTTGCCGCTAATCAAGATAGCAATGAGGTGAGTGTCCTTCTTGGCTATGACTATGTAGTAATTGTAAAGCTAATGATGCTCATAACTGGAAATGGTTCCCGGCCTCAGTCGTTAGTGATTAGTGATTTTAATAATGATGGTCTAATGGATATCGGCGTCGTCAATTCGCTTACCTACAATATTGGTATTTTTCTTTCATATGGTAATATATCTTTTAGAAATCAAGCGATACATTCAACTCATCCATACTTATCTCCATGTTCGATGGCTGTTGGTGATTTTAACAATGATACTCGAGTAGATATTGTTTTTGGTAGTTGTAACTCGGATAAGATTGGTGTTTTGATTGGATATGGTAATGGCTCTTTTGGAAAGGTGACTCCGTATTCAACAGGTTCACATTCGTCTCAATACTCTCTAGCTGTTGTTGACATTAACAACGATACTATACAGGACATTATCGTTGCGATTTATGATAACAACAATATGGGCGCCCTTCTTGGATATGGTAACGGCACTTTTGCACGTATCGTCCTATTTTCGTTAGATTATGGATCCAATCTATTCTCTATGGTCATTGGAGACTTCAACAATGACAAAAAACTAGATGGTGCCATCGTCAATAATGGAACTGACAGTTTAAATATTCTCTTGCAGACTTGCTAGCCTTTTATCTTGTACTTTATACTTTTCTATCGCTCACTTGAAAGAGAATGTACTGGGTAGGTGTATGTTGATGTGGATGTCGGTGTGGATGTGCGTGTGGACGTAAGGTTGAGGTGAAGAAAAGACAAACACCCATGCCCACACCCACAGCCGCAGCAACATCTACCCTAGTCTCAATCCTTTCAATTCCTTGAGAAATCCTGGCAGGATCTTGCAGGACCCTTACTCACAAGGATCTTGTCAAGTTTTACTCAGGATCCTGATCAAGATCTTATTAATTCCTGTTAGTAGGATGTTTCAAGAAAAAATAGGATCCTGTCAGGATTTCTCCAGGCGCCTGTACAGATTTTTTTATTGATTATGAATGCTGGGTCTTTTCAGGATTCTTTCTAGATCCTGATCAGGATCTTGTTAATTTGTGTCAGCCAAATATTTCAAGAGGAAACAGGTCTCTGTTCAAGTTTGGTTTAGTTTCCTCTCAAGGTTTTTTCTATTATGTATTAATATAAGATCTTTCTAAACTTTATTTCGTCTTAATGAGTATCTTATTAATTCCTGTCATTAGAACATTTCAAGATGAAATAGGATCCTATTCAGGATTTCTACAGGCTTTTATTAGGATTTGTTGTTGCCTAGGATTATAGGATCATTTCAGGATTCATCCTGGATCCTGATCAGAATTCTAATAGGAAACAATAGAAACCATCATAGTAAGGTTGCATCAGTCTTTAACAAGATGTATATTTGTCACAACTTGGTATAGAGAAATATAGTCAGACATTGATCAAAATCCTGTGCCATTTGTTTTTGGTATTTCATTTGTTATTTTATACCCACACCGGCAAGTGTCACTGGAATTCGTGGAATCCTTGAAAAGTTATACTAAAATGTACTGTACGGATAAACAAGATATCTTACCAAACCTAGTATGACCTAGGGGTGAGAATTTATTGTTATTTATAACAGCTATATAACAAAAAACTCTTGGTTTTTAAAAATCCTAGAAATACAGTATAACTTTCGAGAAAATAACGAATTTTTATAACACTTGACTAAAGGTTTTCGGAATCGAGGAATTCGAATCTGTAATCAGTTTTGTGGAATCTTGAAGCTTGATTTTTTCACTAGGAGAAGGTTGTTTTTCGAAAATCACGATTTTTCATAAAGTTTGATGAAAGGTGTGGGTGTGGGTGTAGCCGTCGATGAAGAACGGAACAGTCACATCCTCACCCACATCCACAGCCTCACCCATACCTTCACTCTTTTATTAACACTATCGAAAAGTGGTCGCCTAGAATTTAATCTTTTTCAAAATCAAAATTAAACAACCAAAATCAGTCTTGCTTTGTGAATTGTAGAGCTCTTCACGCTGCATCTTGTAATATACTCGGTTTTCGAATAAAAAGTTTTAAAGATTACAATTTAAAATGCAAAAACCGGTCATTTATTACGAGACACCCGTTTGAACGAGATTATGAAATTGATATTGATGCTATCAAAACTGCTTATCTATTGAAAAAAGATCAAAGAAAAAAATTTTTTGAAAATGAACAAAATAATTCTATATCACTCTTGAATAAGACGGTATTTTTTCCTATTAATAATAAACATTTGTGAACAGCTAATAATGATTGAAGACTAAAATTGAAGAAGTACATGTATCCAATAAAAAGTGCATATACTAATTAAAGTGGGTTTAGTGCACTACTAGAGAAGTTAATACTTGAGCTTTGCATGCATTACATTCGCGAAGTTCAGTTCTCATGAAAAAACTTTTTGCATTGGGCTGAGCAAGGGGAAAAAACGCAGAGCCCATTCAACAGTTTATTGCTACCCCTACAAAATTGACCTTGCACCATCCATGAGTGTTAATCGTCTATTCGGTTGAGATGATTTACATACTTTTTTTTCCATTGCAATAAAATGATTTTGAGCCTCTCTTATGGTACGAAAAGGGTGCACTCGAAACAAAGATAAATATGTGAATATATCTCTAGTATGTTCAATCCATTACTATATGGAGAAAGAAATAAAAAGAAATTTACCCGACAACCACGTTAAGTATATCTTCTGATACATGAAAATTATTGAAAAACCTATGAGAAATGCTGCTGTACTACTCTGTTGTTGTTATGTCAAAAAATGAACGAGTTAAACAAAATGCGTTGAAAATACTTCAGTCGATATATAGAAACGACTTTGCTCAAGTCATTCGAATATGACTGAGAGTATAATCCAATAAAACTACGATCACGTATTATTTGTCATGTAGAGTCACTAGATTTTTTGTGTGTGAAACCTGAGAAATAAATTAGAAGGTACTTGTAGGAATTTTGACAGTTAATTAAACAGGAAATCAAGTAACTTTTAATGCATTTACACAGATGTTAGTTATGAGGCTGTTATCCTAGATAAAATATAACAATGTTGTTTGTCAACTCACCTCAATGCATTTTATTTCCAAATATCGAATATGCGACCAGTTTAAATGTAATACTTCTTGTTTTAAAATTAATATCATTAAAATTCAACAGAGATTATATTTAGATTAATCTAAATGGTGTCAGTAAATCTTATCTTGATTTGGAAATATGCACTTCTTAGAAAGTCTGATATTGATATTTTGTATATAATTATGTTTCAGTACTCAATTAATGCAGAACTTAAAAATTAAATATCTGTGTCCGGATAAGCCATCGGTAGTTCATACTTTAAATTCATGATTTTCTCAATGAATATGATCATTTACAACTAATACAGTCGTGCGACTTGCTCATCAACGAAATTCGTTAGGCTGTGGGTGTTAGTGAAGAAAAAATCGACATTAACACTCACACCCAAATGTAGAATTTAAAAAGAGATTCTTCTACAAAAAAAAATAAACACTTCTACAGGATGCATAAAAGTGTTCTTTTCAGAGGAGGGGAGTAATACCAGTATTTCAAATGACAAACATCCTTAATTTTATACCAGAATAAAGTGCGTCGAAAATGAGATTTTTTAGTATTAAATAATAAGAATTGTCAAAACCTTTTAATGGCGAATTGAAGAAATTTTCAGAGGGTTTGGATGTAGAACTTCACTAATCTAACACTCACCCACACCTTCAGACAGATTTCTGGATTTGAATTCTCATATCGCATTAGGAAGATTTGAATGAATTTGAATCCTCAATGTTCTTTCAAAAACAAATCATTTTCTATTGTTTGAAAGAGTGAAGAACGCGAAATTATGATCTATGTGATCAAATTTCTCGATCGATTGTTGAGGGCGTGAGTGAAGTTTTGAAGATGAATGTTGATTGACGTTACCTCAATTGACACACAGATAAAACTCATACTCACATTCATTTTAAGTATAAATAAATTAAAAAAGATACATTTAAACGTATAGAAAACGAAAACAGATGCATCTATGATAAAAGTATATGCATGTAAATATTTCTTTTCAGTAGGAGGTTCTTGATGATTGTCACATTGAGTGTGTTATTTTTTTCTATTTGTTCTCACGAAAATACTTGAAGAAAAGAAAAAAAAACAGATCTTGAGAGTTTTTATAAGTCTGTATATTTACATTGACTGGTTTTGAAAATGCGTTGCTACGTTTATATATTTTAATAAATCGCTGAAATCTAGATGATAGAGAATTTAGAGATACCGAAATAAATAAGGTAGAGTTCACCTGTAACTGAAAACAAAAATAAATGCGGAAATCTCGGATTTATCCGAGATTATGTGTACTTCAAAAAGTGAATGACCAGACCCGGTCATTCTAGGATGTCTAAAAATCAAAATTTTCCTAGCAAAACTTCTGTATAAACCTTTCAGTTCTATTGCCTACTGCTCATCCAATAGGATTTGGAAGCGTAGAAACCTCAGATTTGAACTCTTCGACCTAACTTAGCCTTAGAAAGTCGTTTTTCCTATAACTTGATTTCTATTGGTCAATGCTCAACCAATGGG